CATTCCTGCCAGCCCAAGTGTTCTTCACGAAAAACGCTTTATTTGGCTTAGCCTTTCAGTAGGTTCTGAGTACTGTGGTAGGACCCACACCACATCATTTTAAGGGGGTCTGGGGTCGTATTAGGGTTTTTTGACAACCTATGTGCTGTTAAGTTCCAATGCACTTAATATCGGTACAGATACCAGGCCTCCCGAGATGAGCTGCCCTTGAGCCTCCCCTTGCTGTCCTTCTGTGTCCCTCCCACCAAGCATGGGACGAGGCCCTCTGTGCTGGCTCCTTCTCTGCCCTGCCGGTGTCTTTGTGGGTGGCGTGCGAATCTGCTAGACCCGCCACCTAGGACGGTGCCAGCATCAGGAGCAGCAGCCGCCGCAGCTCCACGTGCAGCGGGAATATGCATAGACTCCTGTCATCTTCATAACAAACCCTGCACACCACGTGCTGGAATCATCTCCGCTTTGTAGATGAGGAAGCTGAGACTCGGGTTTCCTAGCTGTTGCAAGTTACATAACTAGTGACTTGGGCTGTGGTTCAGACTCAGGAATTCCAGCACCAGAGCCCATGCTTCCAGTAGTTCTGCACTCAGCATACTCACCCAGGCCGCTGGCAGGTGTCCACTGGGATAGAGCTCTGGGCATCCAAGCCTTTCCTTAGGGTGGATATGCACGTGCCCGCTGTTTTCAGCACTCGTGCCATCACCCAGGCTTACTCGTGGTCCTTTCCTCACGTGTATCCAGTGATGCAGAAGCTGTGTGGGATGCCCTGTAGAATCCAGGCCTCCTACAATCTGCTTTATTTCTGGGCTACCTGCTATAAACTGCCAGGTGGAGGTGTGTTTGGATCTGTGACACTTCGTGATTAATAAAGGCCAGATGTCCCAGAGAAAAAAAGAGCACAGTGTCACTTGTTGTTTGTGTAGTTATCCTGGCTCTTGATGACTAGACTCACTTTTTAAGTGGCAACAAATTGTCTAAAAGAAATGCTTTAGAAGGCTGAGCAGAGTTGCCCTCAGGCTTACACATATTCTTCCTTTCTTTCTTCGTCAGGAAGAAATGCTTCTTGATAGGAAACTGCTGTGTATGAATTGAAGAAGCCTACTTTATAGTTTTCTTCTCTCTTCTAATGTTTTCCATTGTCCTTAGGCAGTAGCCCGGTCATTCATTAATTCGATAATCATTTATCGAGCAGGGTGCTCTGTTGGGTGCTTTTAGAGTGACAGATGGTCTCTACTCTGTGAAAATGTATAATGAAACAAGTATCTAACTTTAACAGAAGGTAAAGTTTATTAATGTCGTAAGGCAAGTACTAACAATATTTGCTTTAGTTTGGGATTTCTGATCGTGGAAAGGGACAATTAAGGGGTTGTACTGAGGAACCAGTGGGCTCGTGGGACCCCACGAGCCCACTGGGTTCTCACCAGCAAGTAGAACTGAGAAATCCAAGCCCTGGGCAAGCAAGACAGCTTCACTTCACCTCAGGGCTCCCACCGAGGACATCAGTGCCTTTACTCTGCAAAAAACTTCATGCTTTAAAACTTACTTTATCTGATCTCTGCCGCTGTTGACATTAGTGACCCACTTCCCTCTTCCAGAAATACTTTCTTCTCTTGGCTGTCTTTCCTCTACTTCTTTGACCATTTCTCATGTCTCCTTAGAAGCTGCGTCCTGCTGTCCTGGCTCTTGGCTGCTGGTTTTCCAGTTCCTCCTCTTGCATTGTGTTCTCTGAGTCATTTCATCCACTCTGGCGGTTTGCAGTATGTGCTGAAAACTCCCGAACTTGTATCTGGAGTTCAGCGTTTTCTTCTAAGCTCTTTGCTGCCCTCATTGCTTCTTGAACGTCTTACTGGCTCCTTAAATGTCTAAAATGACTCCCCATGGCTGGCTCTCCACACAGAGGCCTCTGTTCCTCCCCCCCACCCCCGGCCCCCACGGTTCCCGCACGAGGCTCCGCAACTCGCTCTCCCGGGTGCTGTCCGTGGTCTCCACCCGATGCTGCTTCCTCCTCCTGTCCCGTCAGCCTCAACGGCTCCTGAGTGCCTGTCTGCCTTTCCCTCATTTCTGAGGAATTACCTACCGTGTCCTCTCGTAAGTCTGCCCATCTGTCTTACACCAGGGGCCCTCAAACTTCACTGCCCATCAGTCACCTGGAGGGCTTGTTAAAACACGTGCTCACGGGGCTGCAGGAATCTCAGAAACCAGCACTCTACTAAGCTCCCCAGGTGATTCTGACCTGATGGCCTCAGAGAGTACCCCGCTGGCCCGTGAGCTCCCCAGGTGAAGGAAGGGGTGCATTTTAAGTCCAGTACCTTAGTGTTATCGTTGGTTGAACAATATGAAAGTGTCTTCATATGACCATTTTTGATCAATATGAAGGTGATTTTATTATTCAGCCAAATAATCGCTCAGTAAATATTTGTGAAATTAATGAGTCCTATTCCCCAGGTTTTGTGGTAACTAGCAGGCTGGCCCTACCACCCTGTGCTATTTCAAGTTCAGTTCATCTACCATTTCCTGACCTGTACTGCGGGGCCCCTGCTGTGCAGTCTCCCTGGAGCTTCCTCCTCCCGCCCGGACGGTTTTCCCTGATCCCAGAAGTCATCGTCTGGGCTCACACACGCTCCCCATCTGCACAGACGGGCCCCCCTTCTGGGGTCTGCACATTCTTCTCCAGGACACCGCTTGTTTATAGCCACCGACTTTACTTCCTACGTTCTTTCTCTTTCAAAGTCTCAGCATCGAGTTGCAAGACGTGATGAAAACACCGTTTATGTTCCCAAATTCCTTCTATTTCTGGCACAGTGCTTTACAAGTAGCTCCCAGGTTGTCCCAAGCTGTTGTCATTCAAACTGAGCAAATGACAAAGTGCACAGTTAGCAGGAATGAACAGAACCAAGAGGCAGGATCTTTATCTCATCCTGGGATCATCCAGGTAACCACAGCAGGGACACACGTGCTCGTGCTCATGCCGTTCACGGGGCGTCTTTCCCCCGGATCTAATCTCAAACTCGGGTATTTGCAGGGTCTTAGAGTCACCGTCTCTTCCCCGGCAAGCCTCGGTTCCTGTTCTGAGGGCAGCTTTTCCCTCTGGGTGTTTTCTCCAGCACTGCAAAAGTTCCTTTCCTTCCTGGGCTATATTATTACAGTACTCCTCCTGTTCTGATTTCTTACTTTCTGATTTCTTTAAAAAAAAAAAAAAAAAAAAAAAATTCACTTTATCTTAATGGGTGAAAAATAAAGTTGAGATCATGGAAAATAAGAAGGTTAATTTTATTGTAGGATTTTTTTATTTGAGACTTTATCTCTTTCGATGTATGTGATTATCACATCTCAGTTAACCTGAATGTTTGTTTAAATACAGCAGCTGCTCAGCCAGGAACTGAGATCTTTAACCTGCCGGCAGTCACCACCTCAGGTAAGATTCAAAAGACATTGTTTGCCAATAGGAAACTGGTACAGTAGCAGTCAGTCCAGCAAATAGGTATTGAATACCAACTGCATACAGGAAACTGCTCCCGGAAAGCTCATCGTTTAGTCAGGGAGGGAGGGAGTCAATGGCGGTAAATAATGAGTTGAGATTCAGTAAGTACTTGTTGAAAAGATAAATGAAGAAAGAGAATCAGAACTATTAAAAGAGCTAAAAAGAGAAGAAAGCCATCCTCGAGTAACTCTCACACAAGTGGGTGCCTGATTTAACAAAGAAAAAACATTGCCTGTGAGCTACGCTCGCTGGACTTAGCTGGCCTCCATGTGGGCTCTGTGTTGTAGGCACCTTGCCAGGTGCTGCGTGTCCTGGGGGGGGCTCCTGTCTCCCGACCTGCCCTCGGAATCAGGCAGACGCGTCGTGCTCGTCTTTTGCAGGCTCCGTGAGCTCCCGAGGTCATTCCTTTGCTGATCCTGCCAGCAACCTCGGGCTGGAGGACATCATCCGGAAGGCGCTCATGGGGAGCTTTGAAGACAAAGTGGAGGACCACGGGGTCGCCATGCCCCAGCCCCTGGGGGGGGTGCCTGGTGGTGCCGGCACCCCGGTGGCGACCAGCGGTGAGGCCCGGAGAGAGGAAGGGGACCCGTCACCTCATTCAGGTAAAGGGCTCATTTCCGTGCTCTTCTGCCGCCTTTCCCAAGAAAAAGCCAATTTATACCCCAAGTTCTAACGGATCACTAAGAGATTTCATTAATGTGCTCAGTCACCTCTGAAGGTTTTAGTTACTTAAACCAAGTCTTTTTTCTAACCTGCTCAGACATGTTAGTAATACGAAATTTAAAAGGATGAAAATTTTTACCCAGTAAGTCATCCTCCAGCATATCAGTGTTTATTTTTGCTTGCATCTAGTCCTTATCTGTATACATACATTGTAATTGTAATACAAGTGCAATTTCATATTCTGCTCTTGAATCAAAGTAACTTACTATTGTAATAAAAATGACAGGCTCAATGAAAGAATTTTAAGCCACAGAGAAGAGGGAAGAAAACCAGATCACATCGTCTAGAAAGCTAGTGGTGGTGTTTACATAAAAGGACAGCTTATTGGAATGAGATAATTTTATGCATCCTATTAAAAGCAAGCACACAAAAACCGGGACTCTGCTCTTTATATATGTATATATAACCTTTTTTCTTAATCTTTTGAGAGTATCTTTTATACTTTAAAAACTACTTGAAGGTCAGTAACATTTCAAGTTTAGTTTATTTTCCTGTTATGGTCAAACAAACGATCTCACTAAAGTTAAGAAAAAGATAAAGAGATTAGGGGTTTTAGTTATTTTTTACATATATATGTGAATTTTCGGACAATATGAATTTACTTCCTGCTCTAAAAGATGAGCCACTGTCTCCCATCTCTGCTCTAACCTTCCGATTTTTATTGATTTTAAGTTTTAAGGTTGTAGTATTGGTGACTTATACAGTTACAGTTATCCTGCTTACATAATCTTTCTATTACGGCGTTTCTTTCTGGTAAGGTTTTCACACCCTGTTTTCTCCAAAAGGCTGCTGTATCCTGAGATGCGTGCTCGACAGTGTCTTCTTGCTGCCTTTATGTCTGAGACGGCGGCTTGGCAGGTTATGAGACTCAGCACGTACTTTTCTCAAAACATCCCGTAGACACTGTTAAGGCTTTTTTCTGGCATTCGTTGTTGTGTAAAACATAAGACCAGATGTCTCCCCCCCCCACACACACCTTTTTTTGGTGGTGACTCTCTGCCCAAAGAATCCTTTTTTTACCTGGATTTCAGTAAATTTGTCATGAGTGTGTTCGTGTTCCTCACCCTGTTGCTCACAGGAGGGTGTTGCCCCTTCAGGTTGACTTCTGCATTCGGGGAAATGCTCCTCTTAGTCACTTTCTCTCTCTTTGGGGGGACCCTCCGTTTCAGAGTGAGTTACCTTTTTGCTGGATAGTCTGACCTCTGCATCTGTTAACCTTCTGATTATTTTAGTCATCTTGATCTTTTTCCGTTGCTTTTACTGCGAGTCTCTCAAATTTTTCCTTTGCACTAATAATTCCCTTTCCCTCGTGTCTATTCTGACCCTTGCTGTTCTGTCCTTTGTTTCCTAAGCCCTTTCGCCCCTTTCATTTTGGTTATCTATTCTTTGAGCTTCTTTCTTAAACTGGCCTCGTGTATTCCTTCCGAAGTTTTCTCCAGTGTTTGAATCACCTTCTCTGCCCCCGCCCCCGCCCATTTCTTTATTATATTCTTTTCCTTATCATCAAGGATTTGCATTTCTTCTTTTTCCAGATAGTTGGAGGGGTCAAAGTTGCTTTCTGTTCCTTTTTTCTGTACCTTGAAGAACTGGGGGCAGGGTGAAACTGTTCTGCTAGGGCTGAGGAAAACATTTGCTGGTGACTTGGACTCTGATCTCTTCTGAGATCTTTTTCACGTTTTGTTCTAGAGCCCACTTGGGGCTTCCCACTCCTGCGAGCTTCTGCTGAGTTCATCAGCTGTATAGCCTGGCGAAGCAGAAAGGGCCCCCTTGACTTGTCAAGCTCTGCTGAGGTCCAGTAGTGCCCTGAAGGGGCTTCTGTTCTACAGTTTTATTCCTCCTCTGTGAACTGGTGGGAGGAGAAAGTGAGGATTTAAGATTTTTGTCAGCCAGCTTCCATTTCCTTAAGCAGTTTCTGCGCTCCAAGGCCAAGAAAGAAATGATGTTCCAGAAATGCTAGTTCCTTGATTACATGTTTCTGAGTTTATGGCATGAGGACATACCCCTTTTTGACTTTAGCTGCTCTAAGTAAATTCTGGCTTTCTTTTAAATATTACTTTTTTACTTCATTAGGCACTAGGATTTGGATTCTCCATGCTACCATTTTGCTTCCTTCACTTAGCATTAGATAATCATCAGCATTTTGGTAGATTTTAAAGTTGAGAACATAATTACTAAATATCGGCAGTAATAACTTATTTCACTTTTAGGAGGAGTTTGCAAACCAAAGCTGATCAGCAAGTCAAACAGCAGGAAATCAAAATCTCCTATCCCAGGGCAAGGCTACTTGGGAGCCGAACGGCCCTCCTCGGCCTCCTCTGTGCACTCAGAAGGGGATTACCACAGGCAGACGCCAGGCTGGGCCTGGGAGGACAGACCTTCCTCGACAGGTGAGGAGCTGCTGCGAGTCCGAAAGCAGCCGACGTCAGTGCCTTGGTTAGCGCTGCTTCGAACACCGCTTCCCTATCACAGCCTCATTAGGGGGTTCCACCGTCCAGACAGAAGCGGAACGCGCATAACCTAACCCTCCTTCTCCCGCAGGCTCGACGCAGTTCCCCTACAACCCCCTGACCATGCGGATGCTCAGCAGCACGCCCCCTGCGCCCGTTGCCTGTGCGCCCGTTGCCTGTGCGCCCGCCTCTGCCAGCCCTGCTGCCCCTCACCAGCCGAGCAGGATCTGGGATCGGGAGCCGGCCCCGCTGCTCTCTGCGCAGTATGAGACGCTGTCCGACAGCGACTGACCTGCGGGAAGGGGTCCCGGGGCCCCCTGGGCGGGGGGAGGGGCTCTAGTTTCTGGTGGTCTGTTTTAACTGCAGGCCAAAAGCCTGCCCTCCTAGGACTTGTGCCCAGAGACTTTTCAGGAGAGCCTGGGCCACAGACGACGACGAAATGATGGAAGTTTATTTCAAGAGTCAAATGAGGGGAAAAGGCTGCCCTGATACAGGCAGTTCAGTGGATCATAATAGTGGAGGGTTGGAATGTAGAGTTTTTAAAAAATGGATAATTCCTGTTCTTACATCTGTTTGTAAAGAAAATCATAATGTCTTTAAATCACTCTTCTGTAAATAGATGACCTTTTTGCAGTGTTTCCCCTCGCTCTAGTATCTCGTGTACTTATATTCAAATCAGCGCATCACCTCTGGGGGTAATTTTTAAAAATCTCGTCTTTTTAACCTTTGCCTTCTAAACAACCTCATACAGCCCAGTTATACAATGTTGGCTGTCACGGGCATTGTACTTCTATCCAATTTTGTTTCCTCCAAACTCAGATTCCCAGTGATGTTTAAAATCTTGTGATAAATGTTTAGATTTTTAACACAGACCCTGTCATAAAATCTGTACGTTAACGTATTAGGGTCAAAAGGAGAAACAAACTTCTGCCATACTGTAAATTTCCAGTGCAGGCTTTAATTTTTTTTAAAAAATTAGAAGCACTGAAAAAATAGTACTGCATGGGTATTGTTATAGTTCAGTTTTTAACGTTTTAAAGGCTTATTTGAGGCATACCTCACTGTTATGCACACTGGTAATTAACCACGCCCAAGAACTCCTTTTCTCCTGCATTTGATGCAGCCCAACAAAGCTTTTGTTTTGAAATAAATCTGACTGCCCTGTCCATTAGCTACAGTAGATTATTTGTGATTTAAGCCTTTCGGTGTCTCAGGTTTCACAGGAAAAACTTACACTTTCCTTTAGTTTGATATCTATTATTGGTCGAGAGTCAGAAGGTTACAGTCTGTGCAGAACCTCGGTGTTTTAGGTTTGCTTCGTGCCGCATAACCTGAGCTCTCACGGGGGGCAGCCGGTCCTTTCCCCTTCGTGCCACCCTGTGCTTACTTTCACTTTGATTCCTTGTGGGCAAGAGTTTGTCAGATGTTTTTATTTCACTGAATCTCAAGAAGCAAATAACTTAAAAGACTGAATTTTAAACCCATTATGGTACTAGAGGATCATCAGTCTTACCCTTCAATAATAATTGCTTGTTGAATTAAAATTTTTTTTTCATACAACTTTAACATAGCATTGAAGCATCCTTCTGTAGCACACGGATGCTAATGGTTTTGGGGGAATGCCACCGAGATAGAGGTCTCTCAGAAAGATAAAAACTAGCACTTTATAGACTCTTAAGTAGACCTGAGCTTTTAAGCAAAAGTACCCAAGCCTCTAAAGACAGACAGCAGGTGTCCGACGACCACTGACTAAGCGCCTCCTTTGTAGTGGAGGGGACCTTGGTGTCTAGTCCCCTTTTTATAGATGTGGATGCAGGTTCAGTACATTGCCCACACAGTTAAACAAGCAACAAAGACAGGGCCGCAGACCGACACCTGTCTGTCTGAAGCTAAGGGAACTGTGCACCTGCATATGCTTGAGGTCCTCAAAGCAAGCTTTAGATCAGGTGTAGTGGTCAAATCCTTACTATTTGGAAAGCCGGTACGACTTTATAAATACATAAAAAGTTTCAATGTGAATGAAAAACAAACAGTAACTTAAGGTTTTTGCTTAAAGTTTTGTTTAGGTACTAGTAACATTTTAGATTTTAATTATTTGTCAACAGTCCCAAAGAGATGATACTGGTATTTTTCTATGACTAGTTCTTGAGAACACGTCAGATCAGAGCCCTGTGCGTAAACCTGTGCAGCTCCACTCAGGACCCAAAGGGGGCGGCTGCTGACCACTCACCCCCTCCTCATCACAGTGCAAGTTGTTTTACTTCACCTGCCGTCACCTGGAGAAGAGATCCCGCAACGGGAGACAAAACCCACGGTCCCGCCTCGGTTCAGAACAAGGGCAGGACGGAGTGCAGGCCTGCGGAGGAGGCAGACCGTGTGGGAGTGGAGGCCCACCCGGCGTTGACGTGACTTGGCCAAGTCAGCTGTGAACCGAGGCGGGATGTTGCGGGCTGAGACCCCAGGGTTCTGAAGCTACAGCCTGGCAAGTGACTTTTTTTTTTTTTAAGCACCCAGAACGAAGTTACAGTTCACAGAACTGTGACAGACAGCCAGTGTCCACCACACGTTCATGATGAGAAGATTCGTAGTGCTTGAATGTGGGTGTGCTGGGTGATTCTATCTTAAAATATCCATGCCCTGAAAGCTCCAGTGAGATAGTTCAAGTTTTTATACTACTGTGAACAGTTCACCTTTGGATTCAGCCCCGTCAGTGGCAGGCCAGTCCTCCTCGTTTCGCTGCCTCAGTGCAGTGAACTGTAGTGACCGCACCGCGTGCAGAGGAGCGTTCTGAAAACTCCCGCAGGTGTTCCGGGACCGGGAGCCGCATCACGGAGGAGGGCCAGAAATTCTCAGTAAAACCTGGAGCGAAAAACCTCCCTTTCAGTAACTCCTGCAACTGTGAGAAGGTAAAAACGTTCTCAATGCAGAAGGTGAGTAGTCGACGGTTTTTTAAAGTCACTAATAAATGAAGACTGGTTGCACTGAAACTCAACGTGAGTTAAAGTTTCTCTCTCCAGAGTCAGACTTGAGTGATTAAAGGAATTAACTGGGTCGGAAAGTGGGAAGATGGATACATCCGCAATGTTAAGGTGATAGTTTTAGTCTAATCCCTGTACTTTTACTTTTTTATTAACTCTTTAGTAAAATTATTTTTTTATGAGAAACTCAAAGATTATGGAATACATACACTATTATTGCAGAGTGTCTAAGTTTATTATGAAAGGATTCTCCCAGTATGTACACAGGAACCCAACTGTCAGTTTATTTCCCTCCCCCGCCCCCCACCCTGCCCGCTGCCACCGCCACCGGCGTACCAGCAACAACAGGGTTCCTTCGTGGTACCCAGAAGAACCGCAAAACTGCTGGGGTGAAAACACCATCGATGCCCCCTGTGTTGTGTACTTTACATACGCTGAGGCAGTGTGATAAAGCTCTCAACACAGCGGCCTATCCAGGTAAGGTCATCCACCAAATGCATGCTCCCAGGGCTGAGAGAGACTCTCACTACACACGAGGATACTGAGACCCAAACTCCAAAAGCCTGAGCTCGGGTCCAGGGCACTGGTTCCTCCACAGTAGCAGTGGGACACGGCAGAACACCTGGGAAGCTTTCAACACTACACCTACAGGGCCCCACTGGGAGTCAGAGGGTCTGGGGACACCCGTGACCGGGTGCAGAGGAGTGAATGCTCAGAGAGCAGGGATGTAGGGGGTCGTCATTCCTTGCCCTCCTTTTTTCACAGTTGTATATAACCAGGTGATACATACAAAAACAAACATACAGTTCGCTTTTATTTATAATCAAATGGGCGCTATACTTTCAAGTGCCTAATTCCCACTTTAAAACTTCATGCTGCTGGCAAGCCAAGATACTACTTTTTTACACATTAAATCCCACACTGGGCTTCAGGAGATAAATTATAAGAGAAAATAACTCACCGTCATCCCCCTTTGCCATGAGACCGGTAGCTCTGGTCTGCCAGGTATTGATAAGAGAAGGCAGCAAATCAGTGGACAAAAATCTTATGGGAGAGACGCCTGGCTGAAATGCCAGACCCCACCCCAGAGGGAAACTGGCCCCTCTTAATCTGGAGTTATTCTCGGACCAGCATGGACAGCACCTAACCAGCCGTCTGCTGCAACGGAAAGCATTAACTGACACCTGTCACAGAAGCAAAATCAGGTGGGTGGGGGGGGGGGGGGGTGCTCGGCCCCCCCCCTGCCAATGCAGGGGATACGGGTTCGTGCCCCGGTCCGGGAGGATCCCGCGTGCCGCG